TAAATCAAGAAAAAGAAAAAAAAAAAAGAAATGGCTGAAAAGTTGGGAGATAGTTGGTCTTGTTAAAGCCCAAATTAAGTAAGTAAAATGAGAAAAGGTTACTACTGGACCCGATTGTTGGCTGATGGTAATTACTGATTGCTTTCACAAAGCTAGTAGCAGTCTATCATTTGTGGGCGAAAGGGACTTTCGGCCCGATTTGGACCTAATAGTTTAGTAAAGCAGATTGGGCTGAATCTGATTTTCGATGCCTAAAAAAAATCTTTTTCACTCCCGTTTCGGTTTTAAGTATATTAATATATGTATATATACATATTTTTTTTACAAAAGAAATTGTAGTCTGGAGATTAAAAAATGAGTTATATGTATTAAAATTTTAATTTTAAATTTATTAAATATCATCTTTTAAAAATAACTATACAAATTAATTAAATTAAATTTCATATTCACTCATATTTGTGAATTTATAAAAATATAAACATATATGCATTTACCTGTGGACATATATGTTAATCAACCACCGTGTAATCTAACTTCCCATCACATTACAGTTTCATTAATTAGCAGTGTGTTAAAACAATCTATGAAGTTTGGCAAAATCCCATCAACTAATTTTGATTAAGACCCTTAATTATTTCACAATCAAGTTTAGGTAAGGCATTTCTTTGCTGCAATAACTTTGTGTCTCATGACGTAAGATATATTTAATCTGAAAGCTTTTAGGAGACGAAGGTGGAGCGAATTCATGAGTGGAGAATAGGAATAGTTGGTTCAAGCAAAATTCCATAGAAGTTGTTGAAACCAAATAAAATCTTGATCTAGTTGGGGCGACTGAATGCTACTCAATTATGTTTTTATTTTATTGAAAAATTTTGCTTTCTTAATTCGTTGTGGATTGTTTTAGTTGAAGAAATTAATTATCATAGATAACAGTCGTGTAATTTAATGATAGAATATTAAATTTTTAATTTTAATAATTAAAATTAAAATTTAATAATTTTTAATATAAAAAATATATATTATCATCTTTCATTTACAATCATGAGAAGTTTAATTTGTAGGGATAATTGGATATAAAACATGGGGGTCTTAGCTATTGTAACCATGAAAATAGATGTAACTTTCGAATTTGTAATAAAATATAAATTGTGGACATTCTATAAATATTATGCACTGACTCGATTGACACATTCTTGAATATTCCTCTTACGAAAATTCATGAATAATTTTGGCAATTGTTCATAAATTGATCAAGTGGTTATATAAGGCTGAAATCAAACATTGTAATTGACACGACACAATCATTGTTGGATATTAAACTTTTGATGTTGTTTCATGGAAATAAGGATCAGATAAGTGCTAGACAAAGAAGAGACCAAAGTTCAAATGAAAAAGACAGACTTTTAGAACCTGATGAAGAAGAAGAAGCAAAGGAACAAAGCATTGAAAGTGAAAAGAATAATAATAATAAGAAGACTGACAGAGAAGGATTAATGCTACTTTTTTCAAAAAGCCTAGAGAGCTTAGTTGTTAAAAAAGTCAAGAACAAAGTAAATAATATACGTATTGATCATGAAAGAAAAATTGACCTAACCCAATTCTATACATTTTGGATTTTGGTGAGGAAATTCATATTGACTTGGATAAGTTAAAAGAAAAGATGGAGGGTAAAAAAATGGGAGCCAAAGAAAGACAATTTTAGTTTTTCAGGCACATGCATGTCAAAGACGATTAAGGTTGACATCGAATCGAGTTCGGGATAAATTTTGCTCGTTCCGAACCTGATTCGATTTTATGTTTTATTAAATTCGAATATAATTTTATTCGAAATTTTTTTTGTTTTTATATACCCAAATTCGACCCCGACCCGATACTATATAAACTGTACCTGATTCGACTCGAAATTAATAAAATATTATTTTTTAAATATAAATATTTAAAAATATAATTATATAAATATATATAAATAAAAAATTAAATAATTAATTAAAAAATAAATTTTTATATAATATCGGATCGAATTTATCTAAAATTCAATCCGATCCAACCACGATTATTTTCTAACATTACTCGACCTGAAACTCAAATTAAAAAAAAAAAAACTCCGACCTCATAGGATCGGGTCGAAACCCGTCAAAGATTGATTGGATTGTCGATCCTAAAAACGACATATAGTCGAATGCACTAATGCTAATTTCTCGTTTCAGGATTTAAATTTATTAATTAGCCATTTTAATGGCTAATTAAACTCCTATAGCTTCTTTCAATAGTTTGCTACGGCTTGGAAAGAAACTTAGTAAGAATTTATTACGGATAAATTACCACATATTATCCTTTAGCTTTTCGTTGTTAGACCATGAACGCCATTTTTCACTCATTTGTTAAAATCAATCATTAACCTTAGTACTCCAAATTCAAAAAGATTAAATTTATTTTTTAATTTTTCATGTTGATATTGGTGCATGCATTACATGACCAATATTTTCTCCTAGCAAAATCAATTTAATAAAATATACAACGTCAACATTTATATGTTCAATGATTTGTTTTATTGAAATTGATATTAATATATATATATATATTTTAAACACTTGATATGACACATAAACCTTTCATAATGATCTATTCAAATAATGAAATGAACGCTAACCAAAACAACATTATTTAAACAATGGATACCATTGTTTAAACAAAATTATTACGTTCTTGAAGAACAATGGCCAATAATTGGTGCTTGTTGCATTATTTGAACAACATATTATAAGATGTATCATGCTTCAATATCAACAACAACAATAATAATAATAATAATAATAATAATTTTATTATTATTTTTTTGTGAGAGGTAAGAAAAATTTTTTTTTTCAAAATTATTATTAGAAAACGGACATGGTTGGCTTGATATACTTTCACATAAATTTCACGTGGTAAAAAATAAAAATATAATATTCTTTTTAAAAATTTAATTTATATAAAAATCAACATGGGTTAACTTTATTGAGTCGGCATTTGAAATTAACGAAGAAGGTGCGGTTGCTAAAAGCTTTGTGCCAATTGGTAACAGACATCCATTTGCACGTCACCACAGCAGCACGGAAAAAATTTTTAACTCCCGTTTGCCTTACGATGGATTTTGGTTTAGTAGTGGCATGAAATTCAACTTTTTTTTTTATCTTTTATTTTATGTTATAAATACAAATCTATCCTTTTTTATTTAATTTTTTATTTTGATTTATGTATTTAAAAATTATGAGATATAATAAACAAATATTATTATATAATAAATTAATTAATAAACAAAAATTTATTATTATATAATAAACTAATTATTTTTTATTAAATTTTAATAGTTATTTAATAAACAAAGTTATTATTTATCATAAAAATAATTTAATACTTTTTAATTATTTATAAATTTTATAAATATTAAATAATTTAAATTTTTCCTTACATATAAATTTTAACTTAATATCTTTAATGATTTTTTTATTTATAATTTATATCACTTTTAATACTAAATTTATATCTAAACATATATTTTTATTATTAATTTTAATATTATTATTATAATAATTAATTTATTTTTATTAATTTTTTAAATGTTGTCAAAATCAATTCCACCGTCATTAGCAAAGATAGCATAGCATTAGCTTTCAACTACTAAGCAAGCAAGGCCACATCTCTACCAACCTGACCCCATTTTCCCATCATATCATGCTCTGTCCCCTTTTTTTTCACCAAACCCAAATCATCACATCCATTAATTAATTTGAACAGTTAATTCAATAAATGGTACATATTTTCCTATTTTAAATAATCATATTCTATTTCTCATCTTCATTCTAAAAATATCTCATGAACCATATTTTAAACCAAATTTAATTTTCATTAACCATTTCCTTGTTATGATTAATATAATATTGAACTAAAAATTTAATTCAATAATTATTTTTAAAATATAATATTTAATAAATCTAAATTTTAAATGTTAATACTTACAATATATATTTTTTTATATTCACAGATTGCGTTTATAAAAATAATAGTGTTTTAGCGTTATGGTAGTAATTAATTTGCCCTCTCCCTGAATGAATCCTTCCTATTTGAAACTTAATTTCCAGTTTTGTTGGTTTAAATGGAACGTTACTCCAAACTTTTAACTGAAGAAGGACTTTCTTTTTTTTCTTAAGAGATCTTGTTGAGTAAATATCTAAGTTATGGTGTGATAAAAATCTAAAAAATTTCTCTTTACTATCTATATGATTGAAATTTGTCGTGAATAGTTTCATGGAAATGGTAACATTGGCAGATGATATCAAGCAAGATACATTTTCGTTTTTCACTTACGTATGGCACATAATGAAAATGACTTAAGCATTTGGAAATTATGTAAAGAGGGAAAATAAATTATTGATTTAACATGAAATTTCAACCTCATATATAGTTGGTAGGTGAAAATTTTAAAATAATAAAAAATACATTTGTTGTCTTAAATCGAATAGACAAATAAATCGGAGAACGATCACATAAATTGATGAATTTAATATAAAATTTGACTAAACTCATAGTACAATCACTTAAAATCTCAAAATTTCTAAATTTAACTAAATATATATGTGGTTGGCAAAACTTTTTTAAATGCACTAAGGAAACTGAAAATTACACTTGAATGTTTAACAACTTGAAACCATTTTGAAATTTGTTGTAATATCAAATTGATAACTGACATATTATTATTATTTTTTAATTCTTCACCCATCATCGAACTTTTATTTTTTATATTTATTTGATATAAAAATAAAAATATAAATCCTTTTAAATTTATAATTTTTAAACTTGAACTTCATATCATATCCACTAATTCAAAAGTCATTAAGCATTATTATTATTATGTAGAAGTATTCAAATTATAACTTATTAAATTATGAAAATAAAAGAAAAAATAAACTTCGAAGCTCATAGCACTTGACTAAATCATAGTTACAATAAATCTACTCTAGTTTTTAAGTTCCTTTCAACATTCCAACAACCATTATTAACATTCAAAACTGAGGATTAATGAAAAACAAAAGAGAGAAAAGATTAAGTTTGAGATAGTATTGACATATTCTTACACGAAAACAAGAAAAAAATTCGGAAAGACATAATCAAACATACTATAAAAATATTTACCCAACAACAACGAACGACGACAATTTTTTTTTTTTTTTTGTTTTTTGCTTGATGAATTAAATATTCTCGTAATAAAAAAATTGAAAAGTACGATTAAATTAATTTCCCCACTTCTCTTTTATGAGCAAATAATTTTTTATTTTCATGGGTTTTGCTAATCTCCCCTTGAAGGGCACCAAGGCGTCATATCCATGGGGTAACTGCCCAACACCCTCAAGAAAGAGGTGAATTCCTGGACCTCAGCCAACGCGTTTTGGGCTCTAACCTCCGCCATCGATGCTTCGAAATCCACGTAAAACATGTACTCGAAATGCTTGGCGGTTCCAACATTAGCGTCGTCAACCAACCGGATTGGCCTGTTGCGGTGCGGCCGCGACTCGATTTTTGTCAAACTGATATTCCTGAAGGCAAACGCCGAAAGCACTTTAAAAAGCACGCTCATCCCTTTATCGTTAGCGAAAACGATGCTCGTTTTAAATGGACGATCCGTGCGCGGGATAATTGGCTCCCGTGCTAACATGACGAAGCGCGTTACGTTACACGAATCGTCTTGTATTCCATCGGCGAGGATTTGGAGTCCGTAGAGTTCGGCAGCGCGTGCGCTTGCTATAGCAGCGGTGTCGCGGAGGTTGTTGGTTGCGATGTATTCTGCGGCTGCGGCCGTGTCATCGAAGGCTTCGCGCGTGACGTTGAGGCCTAGTTTGGTGAGGGTGTGTTCACACTGGGAGAGAGCTTGCGGATGAGAAATAACACGTGTCAGGTACTCTTTCCTGACTCCTGGAAGAGCTAAGAGGCAGTGGTGGACTGGGAGTTGGACTTCACCAACGATGTGTAGGCGGTGCCGAAGAAGGAGATCGTAGTTCCGATGAATCGAGCCGCCTAGTGAGTTTTCCACCGGTAAGACCGCTCGATCAGCGATCCAAAGCTCAACTGCTTGAAACGCGACTTCAAACTGGTCACAAGGGATGGCTTCACAGTTGGCATAAGCTTTTCCAGCTGCAGCTTCGGAGTAGGCCCCGGGGACTCCCTGGTAGGCCACACGCAGCCGAGAGCCGTGCTTCGGAGCAGGAGACAGGTCGGTGATGGTTAACGGTTTTTGTGGAGGCGGCTGGGAAGGTGGTTGAGGCTTGTTATTTTTGTCGATGGGGAATAGGTTGAGATCTATGGAGGTTTTGGTACCGTTAACGGCGGCGGCGAGGTGGTCAGAGGCCGAGGAAGGCGTGGATTTGTCGCCGGAATCCTGATCCTGCGAAAAGACTTTGCTAGAGAGAATAGCACAGGAGCTTTGCCAATCTGCACGGCTTGAACCGATTCCATTGGGGAATTGGACTGAGTCAGAGCGGTAAACGCAGCGAATGGCAAACCGAGTCAGTTGGTTGAGACGAGGCTTCGACGGACGAATTATTGAAGAGTTAACACTTTGTGTAGTAGAAACCGCCTGCATATTTCTTTTTAATCAAAACTTGAGTGTTTTTCCTTCCAAAACAAACCAACCAACCGAAAATTAGAGAGGAAAGAAAGAGGAGGAAACGGAGGGATATATTTTTGAGTGTGTGCTTTTATTAAAAGCTTGATGTTCTCTTTGAGAAGGGAACGTCAAGCTGAGGAAAGAAAGGTGCAAAAGGGCGTTTTATATTAAGAAATGAAGAGTCTATGAGAGGATGGTGCCTGTGGGGACGTGGCTCGGTCAACTCACACCTACCCCCTTATTTTTTTAAATTAAATTTAGATTAATTTTTTATATTCACATTTAGATATACTTACGCACATGCTGACTTTATAAAAAATAATATCAATAAATAATTAATTTATTCAGTTAAAATTTTTTTTTATAAAAAAATTTTAAGTTTGAATCTTAATCATTTATTAAAATTATCTTAAATATACGACTTATAGTTATTTATTTTAATTTATTAGATACGACATATTTTACTTTGACATAAGAGATTGAATAATTTATTTATCTCTTAATTTTTTTTCTTATAAAAAAATAATAATTTTTTTGTATAAAAAATAAATAAAGATAAAACAAATTTATTGTTTGTTTTGATAGTTTGTTATTGATCAATTTATGATTTCTTTTCTAATTTTCCAACAATGGATAATCTTTATATGGCAAAAATGCTAAACATTACAAAAAACCTTTATATCACCAAGCAAATAGGGTCGGTATCACTAAAGTATAAAAAGGCGTTGACAGGTATGATTGCTATTTGATATCCTATTCTTTTCTTTTAGTTTTGGTTAGATATTAATAACACTTCTAACGCCCATGACTTGATTTTTTTTTTTCAAAAATTGTAAAATGTATATTAAAAATTTTATATCAATTTTGTTCATAAATTACGTCTAACCTAATGACTTAATTTTCTCGGAAAATCTAAAGAAATATAAAGAATCTTATCTAAATTTTGTTCATGAATTATATTACTTAATTTTCTTCAAAAATTTAAAGAAACATAAAGAATCTAACGAAAAATTTGTTCTTATAAACTATATCTCTATTTGTGACATAATTTTTTTTCTAAAAATCTAAAGTAGTACGATTAATCTTATCTAAGTTTTGTTCAAATGAATTGAACCTCATCTAATGACTTAAATTTCTTTGAAAATTTTAAAGAAATATAAATTTTTTTTGTGATTTTGTAAAACCAAACCAAAACTTCCTTTTTAGTATGATATAATCTTTGATTGCTTTTATAAAGTTTTCATTATTATTCTTTGGTTGACAGTTCTATTTTAAATTACTTACTAATCTAATTTTAAAAACAATTTCTCAAAATATTAAAATAAATAGAACAAGAAAAAATAATGTTTCATAAGTTTTAAAACACGCAGTTCCCTCGTGAAATGTTCTTGTTTTTATTTTTAATATTGAACTCCTATATACATTTATTTTTCTTCATAAGTATAAGAATAAAAATTTAAATTGTTCCATGAAATCTCATTAAAAAAATACCATTTTGTCTAAAAATTCCACTATAGTCCATAAAATTAAAAACTTCATAATTTTTACAAAAAAAAAAAAAAGGATGAAATTTCATTTTAGGTGGGAGGAGACCACCAATGGTTGTTCTAAGGTTTTTACAGAAATTGTGGACCCATAATTATTAATATATATATATATATATATATATATATATTTGAGCCACATAATCATCAATGCTTAGTATAGTTTGGAAAATTTTTGTCCTAATCTATTGTGTCCCCAAAGATGGCCCAAAGTCACAGGACCACCGCCACATTGCAGGCTTACTAGGGTAGGGTCCGAAGACCTAAGGAGCCTCCATTTTTTCGTTTTTTAAATAGGGGTGTTAATTTTTTTTAATGCTCTCTTTCCCATATTTTAAGATCTTTTAAAATCAAATTAATAATTAAATTAATATTGTCTTAAGTTAGTATTACATATCTTAGTATTCAAGAAATGAAAATAATTAAGATTAATTTGGCAGAGTTTTGATTACATGAACTCGATTCCTTTAAAAATTAATATGAAATCTTTACATTTGTTTAATTAAAAATTTATGAGATTGAGATCGTAAAATCAAAACTTTAATGATTCTTTGAGGAAATTGGATAATTTGGGAAGCAATTCCCAGCTCATTTGCCCTTTATTGTTAGAATAATTCAAAACATTAAATGACAAAGAATTAGTTGATATTAATATTAAATCAAAATGGTTGGTAGATAATAAAAAATGAAGAAAAATTTGAAGCTTGGAAAAATATATCACATAATAATCGACAGAAATTACATATTGGAGAAATTTATTCAAGTAAAATTTCACTTTATCCTCAGTTTTCTTTTAATCATGAAATGTTTGTCTCTGAATGCTTAATTAACTATTTCAACATGAACAATATGCAAATATCTTGAAAAAGAGGGGCTTTTTTAGGGTGTGAAACCTCAAAAAAATGGGAGAAAAGGGCAATCATATTCAAGTGGAACCCATTTCTACACATCTATTTCATTGTATTTGCTAAACAAGAACCTAAAACAAGACATTTGAGTATATGATAGGTAGTTTAGCTTATAAAAAATAGTAATATTTGTTATTGAATTTATGTTGCATTTATTTCCATGATTTTTTTGGGGGGAATTAAATATCAAGAATCTAACTATATATAGCATATAATATATATGTGGATAATCATATAGTTTTAATTATTTTCCTTTTTCTGAAGAAAGGGTAAGTATAAATTATGTTTATTGTAGGACTCAAAAGATTAATTTTATGACTCAAAATTAATTATTGATTACTGTACCATTTGGCTTAATTAGGCACATTCAATCTTTGATTTTTCAACATGATTATCCCTCTAATTTCCAATCCCCCCTACCTACCAACTTTGTCACATATAAGAAAAAAAAATCAAGTTCCCCTTATTAGATACCTTAATTAGGTTAACATTAAACTTATATGTATATATTTTAGGTGGCGATGAGGCACGTATATGTACACTAGATTTTGTTTTAATTTAAAATTTAATTTGATTAATTCATATAATCACTTTTAATAAATGATATATAATAAGTTTGAAGTTCAAATTTTAATATCTATAGCTCGTTCTTTTATTTTTCACATTATGATTTCTTTTATATAAAAAAAATTATCCCAAAATCTCTGGAAGAATAAAAATTTTCAGAAAATTAATCCAATTCGGCATGGCACTTATGATCACCTTAATAATGATTATAGTGCAAAATCCTACTACTAATCAAGTTTATTAAGGTAATTAAGTTGCAAATTCACTATTAATTGGGTGTCTCTCCTGAACTAATTATCCAATTTGCATTTTCTAGATAGCTTTTGACTTGACCAGATCACAAAGCTTCTCTTTGGTCATTCTTTAAGACTTTGCTTTTTTGAAATTGAAGGATTTAATTTTTTATACTAATTCAATTATATAAAGTTCAATTAACGTTTGACAACTTCAGACGGCAGTAAGGTTGGAGTTGGTGAGAGGAATATAGTGGACACCAATTTCGCTTCCTAACAACTATGTACTCCAAATTTATTTCCTCTTATCTTATATGGAAAATTATTTTATATATGACAGAGTTTTTAAACTTCAAAAATCAGTTAGAAAAACATGTGTATTAAAATATATTTAAGAAATTAATAAATTTTTATAACACTTATATAAATACACAATAATATTGTAATTCTCATTGTGAAATTTAAAAATTAGTATAAAGAATAGTAAATTTATTTTTATTAAAAAAATAAATTCAAATATCTTTTTCTTCAAAATTATAAAAAAATTCTGAAGATAGAAAATTTTTTCATATAAATTATGATAACGCGTTTTTTTTTTTTTTTCGATTTTATGTTTTGTTTGTATATAAAAGGTCCAAGGCTAAGTCTAACTTGATTACAAACACAAAATTGGACCACACGTACACATAAAATGAAATAAAACGAGGCTTATACACACGTGCACATAAAATGAAATCAACGAGGCTTCCGCATGAACAACGTTTAGTCCACGGTCTTAATGACTATATAAAGCGACGATGTTTCTGGGCAATTTTATTCAGAGTGACCATGCAATAATAATAATAATAATATCGACAAAGGTTTAAACCAATAGCCCATTAAAAATGCCTTAAGAGATTCACCGTCATAAATCCAATCAAGGAAGAGAACCCAGCACTCCGGAAAGAAGCTAATCAAATGATAATGGGAAAATATACAAAAAAATGGTAACTAAAAAAGTCCTCAGCAAAAGTGAAATGTATGAAAAAAAAAGAAAAAAACAGTTCAGAATCTATTTACCAATATGAGCCTGAGGGTATACCTCTAAAATCACGGTGCAGAGCAGTCATCCCCATAAACGGCGATCCTTGACTTGACGATGTCATGATGGCTTACACGCCTACAAAAAATTGTCTGAGACCAACCCTCTTCACCCACCTTAAAAAAAGGGCAATTCATAGTCTTTGAGGACTGCAGGTTCCCTTCTTGCAGCCTCAGATTCAGACCAAATGTAAACCCCACGTTCTTGCTGACTTTCAGGTACAGTATCGTCCAATATAACTACTGTGTCTAAAGCAATAATCATAATAATATAAAAATAATAGATAACAATCAATAATCAAATACGTAAAAAAAATAAAGCACACCAAGATTTACGTGAAAAACCCTTCAGTGTAGAGAAAAAAAATCACGGATCACCAAAAAAATCTTCACTATCAAATAATAATTATACAAAATTTTTATCTAGCTAAAACTAAAGCTAATCAACAACTAGAGAAACAATTTGAGAAATCTCATCAAATAAGTGACTCAACAAATACATCATGAATTTATTCATAGAGAGCTTCAAACCTGATCTTCACCGTTCAAAATATAGAACTTTGAATCATAAACCTCCTAATAAGGTTCTAACTCAATCGAACCACAGATCGACTTCCGTTTAACCAACTCTCTCTTCTCTTTTTTTATCTCTGCTTTTCCTAACTTTTCTTTTTTCTCTGCTTGATTTTCGACACACACCTAAAACAACTCCACCTTTTTTTATTAAGTAACTAAGACTCTGTGTAAAATAAAAGATTAAGGTCCATGACTTTTACTTGATCCAAAACTACTTAAATGAGATTGG